GAAATCCCTCATGCATATTGCTTAGCACGTGGACATGATGCAATCGGCGAAGTTTTGATGCAGATTATATTGAAATAATTTAAAATAATACCTTTCATTTTATAAATTTAATACGTCCATTGGGATGCACATTTATTGAAATAATGCGTCCTGAGCAAAATTCATGCGTAATTTACGCAGGACACACCAAAATGAATCACTGCCCTTCACCCAAGGAAGCTTTGTGACAAGTTTGGTTGAAATTGGCTCAGTGGTTCTGGAGAAGAAGTTGAAAACATAAAACAGTTTACAGAAGGACAGAAAGTCAGACAGATGACAGACAAAATGTGATCAGAAAAGTTCACTCGAGCTTTCAGCTCAGGTGAGCTAAAAATGATAACTTAATGCAAAGATAGAAATAGTTCACTAAATAACTTCATAATTGTTAATCTGAGTAAAATTACACTGTGTAAAATATCGATTATACCTTCCAAAAATATTTTTCAGATGTTATGGCCGATCACGATCATTAATGCATCGGGTATCTGCTGCAGTTCTACAAAAAAATGAAGGGCATACTTGGATTAATAAGGTATTAGCTGTTAATATACAAACTTCTCTTTTAAAATCATCAATAATTATATCCCCTTAATTTTTTTTAATTTTCAAAAAATACATTTGTAATCATAATTAGGGCCCCGCTCTGCGGGCGCCCTATAGTGATCAGTCTGTCCGTCCGTCTGTCCGTCCGAGATCTCTTGTCCGGAGCATATCTTCTCTCTCCTTGGCCCAATCTGGCTCATACTTCACCAACAGAGTGTCTTTGGGTAAAGGGTGTGCAGTGACCTTGAACCATGTTTCTAGGTCTAAGGTCAAGGTCATAACAGAATTATATGAAAAATCCTTGTCCGGAGCATATCTTCTCTCCTCTTGGTCCAATGTGACTCATACTTCACTCACAGAGTGCCACTGGTCAATGGATGTGCAGTGACCTTGAACGAAGTTTCGAGGTCAAGGGTCAAGGTCAAAAATAGCCTCTCTGTTTAAATTCTTGTCCGGAGCATATCTTTTCTCTCTCCTTGGCCCAATCTGGCTCATACTTCACCCACAGAGTGTCTTTGGGTAAAGGGTGTGCAGTGACCTTGAACCATGTTTCTAGGTCTAAGGTCAAGGTCATAACAGAATTATATGAAAAATCCTTATCCGGAGCATATCTTCTCTCCTCTTGGTCCAGTGTGTCTCATACTTCACTCACAGAGTGCCACTGGTCAATGGATGTGCAGTGACCTTGAACAAAGTTTCTAGGTCAAGGTCAAAAAAGCCTCTCTGGTTAAATTCTTGTTCGGAGCATATTTTCTCTCTCCTTGGCCCAATCTGGTTCATAGTTCACCCACAGAGTGTCTTTGGGTAAAGGGCATGCAGTGACCTTGAACCATGTTTCTAGGTCTAAGGTCAAGGTCATAGAAGAATTATATATATGAAAAATCCTTGTCCGGAGCATATCTTCTCTCCTCTTGGTCCAGTGTGGCTCATACTTCACAGAGTGCCACTGGTCAATGGATGTGCAGTGACCTTGAACGAAGTTTCTAGGTCAAGGGTCAAGGTCGAAAATAGCCTCTCTGTTTAAAATCTTTGTTCGGTGCATGGTTTCTTTCTCTTATTAGTCTAGTCAGCCTCAAACTTTACCAATTGACGTAGGGTACAGAACATTTGTGAATTTCCTTCCATATTTTGATACATATGCAACAGTTTTCATAGAGGATATGCAACATTTGTGATTTTTGTGCTGCTTTTTGATAGAGGGTATGGAGCACTCGTGATTTTCATGGCATTTTTTATTATAACAAGGTTGACATAGATGCCCTTTAGACTCAAACAACACATCCCTTAATAGTACACAAGTGTTCCTCTTCAAAATAAACCCTTTTCAGCTCCTTTACTTTTGAGATGGCCACCATCTCAATGATATCTAGTTTAAGGTTGTTTTTTTTTTTTTATTGTATTTGACTTGGTAAAGCAGCTTGAGTATGAGTTATGTCAGTTGACCATTGTTGCTCAGATAAGTGATGTGGCCCCTACTCCTCTCATACCGTTCGATTTACTTGAAAACATAATGATAAAGTAAAGATGCTTGCAGTTGACATCTTTGATTGCAATTGGGCATTCTTGTTCAGTGATAATTTCACACATTGATCTATTAACATTTCAGATAACTGTTCGATCTCAAACTGATGAGGGTAAATTTTAATTTGCCTGAAATGCTGTTATAATTCCATCCTGTTCCACGAGTCTGCCAACCAGCACATAGCTGCACTCCAATGTCTCCGACATTTTTACTTCTTTTTGGAGCGACCTTGCGTAGGATTTCTGGGCCTCTTTTTCTATGATCTCTCCTATTATATTCTCCTTTTTTGCAATGGTTTTCTGATTGATTGGTGGGATATTGCAGGCTGTTAAAATGAATTTACATGGCTTGTCCCATACCAGAATCGATCATGCCTGAGAGAAAAATGCAAGATATTTAGCTACAAACCATTAAAGATGGCCTACATAAAAAGTTTTAGCTGACAAAAGGAGAAGGAGGGTTATGTGGATATCATTTTGACAGTTTGGAAGAATTGCTCCTGCCCATACTTACTAAATTGTTCTTGATAGTTATGCATGAGGGAATTCTTTTATAAGTACTTAAAACACTAAGGATTCATAAATACTGTCCTAAAAAGGGAGGGGGAGAGAGAGAGCTAGGTGATTGAAATTTGCAATCGCAACTTCTTGGGCCTTTTCGATAATAAGAAAAACAACAACGAATGTATTGCTTAGGTGTCCATGACACCCCTCTTTCCCTTTTCACAATTCTTAATATAAGTAGAGGGCTATGTATTATATGTTGAATTTTGATCTGTGTTCATTAAAGTCAATGATATAAAATATACCACAGAAAAGACATTCAAGACTGTCTAGCCAATCAAATTGATGGGAAGCAACTCCATATTGGGCCTAAATTAAAAAAATGTTTGTCAAAAACAACCTTAAAGGTCAAGGTCATAACAGAATTATATGAAAAATCCTTATCCGGAGCATATCTTCTCTCCTCTTGGTCCAGTGTGTCTCATACTTCACTGTATGAGTTGAATCTATATACTTCATAGGGATGCTTTTGAATTCGTGTGAAAAATAATGGCTTTGCTGTTCTTAAAAAGAAAATTTTGATTGATATATCCTTTGTATTCCTTTGTTTAACTATGATCCCCGTCGCCCGCGTGGCACAGTGGTTAGAGCGTCTGCTCTAGAGTCGCCAAGTAAGGAGTTGATCCTTACGTCATGGGTTCGAATCCCACTGTGGGACGTGGAGACCAGTCCTTATAAAACGAGGTCCTGTGTCGCAGTAGGTGCTGGCATGAAAAAGATCCCTCACTGCTCAATGGCCATAAGTGCCGAGTATAGGACAAAATTTGCAGCTCTCCACCGGCAAGTGGTGGCGACTCCATGAGTGAAAAAATCTCGAGAGGGATGTTAAACAACATACAAACAAACAACTATGATCCCCTGTTATGGACCCTCTATTCTCCTGGGGGGGGGGGGGGGGTCATGATTTGTACAAATTTGAATCTACATTACCTGATGATGCTTCCACTTAACTAATCATGGCTTTGATCGCCCATTGTGGCCCCACCCTACCTCCGGAGGTCATGATTTGAACAAACTTGAATCTACACGACCTGAGGATGCTTCCATATAAAAATGATCAATCATGGCTTTGCTGTTCTTAAGAGGAAGATTTTCAAAGATTTTTCCTATATATTCCTATGTAAAACTTTGATCACCCATTGAGGCCCCGCCCTACCCCCGGGGGTCATGATTGGAACAAATTTAAATCTACACTACCCGAGGATGCTTCCATATAAATATGACCAATCATTTGAACAAACTTGAATCCCCTTTACCCAAGGATACTTTGTGGCAAGTTTGGTTGAAATTGGCCCAGTGGTTCTTGAGAAGATAAAAATGTGAAAAGTTAACAACGACAGACAACGGACAAATTTCCATCAGAAAAGCTCACTTGAGCCTTCAGCTCAGGTGAGCTAAAAACTATTTGGTTATTGAAAAGATTTGAAAACAACCTACCCTATTTCCAATCTTTATCAATTATCTCCTGGTATGCTTCTGACGCTGTGAAATGTCTGCCTACTGGTGACCCAACTATTGATGAGGAATATAAAAAAATATTTGGTATAGTTTAAAAATTCAAAACACTTACAACACTACACAAGAGGCCCAACGGCCTTAACGGTCACCTCAGTACAATACAACAATTTAGAAATTATTGGTCTAGTATCAATCTGCCCCCCCCCCCCCTTATCACTATTACCATGCAGACTATTAACAAAATATCTATTTTTTAACCCCATATTATTACTTCTCGCATTGGCCTCTCTTGGCCTTCGAAGAACATTTAAAAAGATAATTTATTTTTATCTCATTTTTATTCATCTATTATATCACTATATTATTAAATAAATAAAGCCCCATCCTTACACCAGAACATCTGACCCATTGGCCATGAACTCACAATTCTGGAAGAAGCACCCCTGCTCATCATAACTATACACTTGTTTCTTTACTTTATAACCAGTAGTAGAAAAATATTTTGAAAGAAATTATGCATTCTCACTATATAATCAATCGAGCCCCCCCCCCCCCTCAGAACCCCTGACTCATTCACAATTTTGGAAGAGGCAACCATGCTCTTTATAACTATGTACTTAGTTTATTTAATACCCAGGAGTAGAGAAGAAGATTTTCAAAAAAATAATGCACTTTCACTATATGATCTACATAGCCCCACCCTAGCACCAGAACCCCTGCCACTTGGGCCATGAATCTGTGTTTAAGATTTTTTAAACCAGTATTTAAATCATGTCCTGTGTGACAGATGACATAATACATGTAATCACTTACATCATCTGTTAGCATGTCAGCTAAATTTCTCAATCTTCAACATGAAATCAATTTTTCATGATACAGGGCACGGACACTGATTGGGAAGCAAACAGGTAAAATCCTTCAATATGAAACCAGAAGCAAAAGTTGCAGTGTCTGTGACCACCATGGAGAGGGTTCAATACCAGCCCACCAGTGTTCCAAAAATTGGGATGGATCCAGCAAGGCAATGGAGCCAGATATGGCCATGTCTATGTTACACAAAATGAAAGACTGCGGCCATCCAGTGCAGGTTATCCACGCTGATAATGATTCCACCACTTCATCTACTTTGAAATTGGACTTCCCTGGAATTCAAAAGAAAGATGACAAAAACCACATAAAAAAGGGAATTTCTAAAAAGCTCTACGCATTAGCTGCAAAATGGAAGGAACTCAGGTCTCAGTCATCTGTCATTCCATACCTGGTTAGATGTTTTATGTATACCCTGTCCAGGGCTAAAACAAGTGATGATGTGCAAGAAGGCCTGTCACAGATTGTACCCCATGTTTTTGGAGAACACGAGATGTGCACTGACTGGTGTTCCTTTAAAAGAGATACTCCAAATTTCAGGTATATAAAATGAAATTTATATTGCATTCATATAAGATATTAAACTCTCTAGGGCAGTCTCTTGGAATTAAATTACATCCTTGGATTTCAATCTACAAAGATTTTGATCAATATGAATCTGCACAACTTCTGTATTGCTCAGAGCAAACAATTCCAAAAACTTGCATTATGCACCTGATTTGTTGCAACATATATATATATATATATATATATATATATATATATATATATATATATATATATATATATATATATATATATGTTTGCCAAGTTAAAATGTATCCTACTTTTACATGCATGCAATTTTCATCACAACAAAATATGTTAAGCACAAAACATTTTTCAGGTTTAAACACCTAACAAATGGGCAGCCACTCAAGGAAGACGGCGTAAGACGTGCCCTTGAAGAAATGGTTGAAACCTACAAAAAGAGAGCGGGTCAACTTGTTACACTGGGGTCAACCCAACCAAATGAAAATTTCAACTTCATTGTTTCAAGCAAAGCTCCAAAAAATCGGTTTGTATATTTTTTATAATATAATATACATCGACAATAAAAGATCCATGGGTTTTGACAGTCACCAGTTTAAAACAAAATCACAAGAGGCCCATGGGCCACAACGCTCGCCTGAGTAATTTTGGCCTTGCTGTTTTTATTCTGATTCCCCCCTTGTAGTACTTATTGTGGCCCCGCTCTACCCCAAGGGGTCAATATTTGAACAATTTAGAATCAACACTACTCCAGAATGCTTCCACATAAGTTTCAGCTTTTCCAGCCCAGTGGTTCTTGAGAAGATTTTTACTACATATTTCAATGTAAAACTTGGATTTCCTATTGTGGCCCCGCCCTACCCTACTGCTCTATTGAATGAAGTAAAAAAGTTTTCTTTAAAAAAAGAAAAATAGGCAGAAAGAGGAATGATCAAATACTTATTAGCTTCTAATGAAAAAATTAAAATGATTCAGGTTACAGCTAAAATACAAATGTACAGTATACGATTCAGAAATGTTCCATAGCAGACAAAATTGAACTTTCTTCCTCTGATAATTGTTTCATTATTAACTGTAGTATAACGGTGAAGTGTTAAATCTGACATGTTGTTGGCAACCTTATACCTATTGAAATCCCTCATGCATATTGCTTAGCACGTGGACATGATGCAATCGGCGAAGTTTTGATGCAGATTATATTGAAATAATTTAAAATAATACCTTTCATTTTATAAATTTAATACGTCCATTGGGATGCACATTTATTGAAATAATGCGTCCTGAGCAAAATTCATGCGTAATTTACGCAGGACACACCAAAATGAATCACTGCCCTTCACCCAAGGAAGCTTTGTGACAAGTTTGGTTGAAATTGGCTCAGTGGTTCTGGAGAAGAAGTTGAAAACATAAAACAGTTTACAGAAGGACAGAAAGTCAGACAGATGACAGACAAAATGTGATCAGAAAAGTTCACTCGAGCTTTCAGCTCAGGTGAGCTAAAAATGATAACTTAATGCAAAGATAGAAATAGTTCACTAAATAACTTCATAATTGTTAATCTGAGTAAAATTACACTGTGTAAAATATCGATTATACCTTCCAAAAATATTTTTCAGATGTTATGGCCGATCACGATCATTAATGCATCGGGTATCTGCTGCAGTTCTACAAAAAAATGAAGGGCATACTTGGATTAATAAGGTATTAGCTGTTAATATACAAACTTCTCTTTTAAAATCATCAATAATTATATCCCCTTAATTTTTTTTTAATTTTCAAAAAATACATTTGTAATCATAATTAGGGCCCCGCTCTGCGGGCGCCCTATAGTGATCAGTCTGTCCGTCTGTCCGTCCGTCCGTCTGTCCGTCCGAGATCTCTTGTCCGGAGCATATCTTCTCTCTCCTTGGCCCAATCTGGCTCATACTTCACCAACAGAGTGTCTTTGGGTAAAGGGTGTGCAGTGACCTTGAACCATGTTTCTAGGTCTAAGGTCAAGGTCATAACAGAATTATATGAAAAATCCTTGTCCGGAGCATATCTTCTCTCCTCTTGGTCCAATGTGACTCATACTTCACTCACAGAGTGCCACTGGTCAATGGATGTGCAGTGACCTTGAACGAAGTTTCGAGGTCAAGGGTCAAGGTCAAAAATAGCCTCTCTGTTTAAATTCTTGTCCGGAGCATATCTTTTCTCTCTCCTTGGCCCAATCTGGCTCATACTTCACCCACAGAGTGTCTTTGGGTAAAGGGTGTGCAGTGACCTTGAACCATGTTTCTAGGTCTAAGGTCAAGGTCATAACGGAATTATATGAAAAATCCTTATCCGGAGCATATCTTCTCTCCTCTTGGTCCAGTGTGTCTCATACTTCACTCACAGAGTGCCACTGGTCAATGGATGTGCAGTGACCTTGAACAAAGTTTCTAGGTCAAGGTCAAAAAAGCCTCTCTGGTTAAATTCTTGTTCGGAGCATATTTTCTCTCTCCTTGGCCCAATCTGGTTCATAGTTCACCCACAGAGTGTCTTTGGGTAAAGGGCATGCAGTGACCTTGAACCATGTTTCTAGGTCTAAGGTCAAGGTCATAGAAGAATTATATATATGAAAAATCCTTGTCCGGAGCATATCTTCTCTCCTCTTGGTCCAGTGTGGCTCATACTTCACAGAGTGCCACTGGTCAATGGATGTGCAGTGACCTTGAACGAAGTTTCTAGGTCAAGGGTCAAGGTCGAAAATAGCCTCTCTGTTTAAAATCTTTGTTCGGTGCATGGTTTCTTTCTCTTATTAGTCTAGTCAGCCTCAAACTTTACCAATTGACGTAGGGTACAGAACATTTGTGAATTTCCTTCCATATTTTGATACATATGCAACAGTTTTCATAGAGGATATGCAACATTTGTGATTTTTGTGCTGCTTTTTGATAGAGGGTATGGAGCACTCGTGATTTTCATGGCATTTTTTATTATAACAAGGTTGACATAGATGCCCTTTAGACACAAACAACACATCCCTTAATAGTACACAAGTGTTCCTCTTCAAAATAAACCCTTTTCAGCTCCTTTACTTTTGAGATGGCCACCATCTCAATGATATCTAGTTTAAGGTTGTTTTTTTTTTCTTTTTACATTTTTCTTAAAGGTATGTCAAACTTTTCTTAAAGGTATGTCAAATTCATCCCTTTCTCCTGGACACTATTCGAATATTCTTGGCAAACGTTTGGACAAAAATCGTCCCTGGCAAAACACACGTCAAAAGCTTAGAAAAGCTAAAAAGAGACGACTGGAACTAAAGAAAAAAAAATCCTCAGCAGCTTCTCTGAACACAGTGAGAGAGGGCACAATCTACTCTGAAAATATTGAATTGAGTTCATCAGAGGTAAATACCTGCATCATTCCATCTAGACCAAATCTCAAAGGAACAGAGATCTTTGTTCATTTTGATTTAGAAACCACTGGACTGGTAAGGACCTCCGATATTGTTCAATTATCTGCTGTGTGTGGAACAACCGTCATGTAATGCCCAGAAAGAAAATGTCACTTGCTGCTAGTAAAATTACCGGAATCAGATTTTCTCTCAATGACAACCAAATGTTCTGCAAAGGTGAAAAAGTTGAAATTGTAACCATTCAGACAGCTCTCCTTGACTTTACTGAGTTTTTAAAAAGCTTTGAAAATCCTGTGTTAGTTGGCCATAACATTTTGAGTTTTGACATTCCTGTCCTACTTCACAAACTTTCAGAATTTCATCTCCAAAAAGAATTTCTTTCAATAGTCCATCTCTGCATTGACACACTGAAATTATCAAGAAGATTATTTAAAAAAGAAGTTGTTGGAAATTACAAACAGCAAACCCTTGTTTCCGTCCTTTTGAACAAGGAATATTCAGCTCATGATGCAAAGGAAGATGTAATGCTCTTACAAGAACTTTTTTTTTTGGAGTATTCAAAGAAAAACTGTCTATAAATGATTTGTACAATGTCAATTTCAAAGACCTGTTTTCAACATTAACGCCATTACTGGAAAACAAGTGTGTATCTTCAACAAGTGCCAGAAAACTTGCACAGCAAGGTATTGGTTTTTTTTCCATTTGCAAACTGCACAGAAGAGAGATTCATCTTCAGGCATTGAAACTATTCTTCGAGGGGCATCTCTGAGCAAAAAAGCAGCATCGAACATCTGTCAGTATCTGAAAAGTAAATGATGTGTTAAAAATGACTGGAGCTAATGTGCATGTTTTTACAGCTCAATCTTTTTCAATTAAAACAAGTTCTGCTTTACTAAACATACTTGATAGGAAAGTTGACAATGTAGGATTTTTTCCTTTGATGAAGTATTTCTTGGTAAATCTCTAAAAAAAAAAAAGACAGCATATATTTATAGGTTTGATGTAACCAACAAAACAAAATTGCATTCAGCACAACAGATTAATTATTACCTTAACTAGAAATATGTCCATAGGACATGAATGCCTTGCCGAGGGTATATTAGTAATGCAACATTTTAACACAATTGAGAAAAGTGAGGTCAAGGTCAAAGGAAAGGTCAAGGTGAAAAAATATTGATGCAGTTGAATAGCTTACATCAGTATGTATCGGCATATGAAGTTTGACACTAATTTAGTGAGGTCAAAGGAAAGGTCAAGGTAAAAAATATTGATGCAGTTGAATAGCTTACATCAGTATGTATCAGCATATGAAGTTTGTTAAAAATATCTTGAATGGTATCTTTAAAACTGAGCTAAAAAAAAAAAGTGAGGTCAAGGTCAAAAGAAAGGTCAAGGTCAAAAAATGTTGATGCAGTTGAATAGCTCTCATCAATAACTATCAGCATATGAAGTTTGATAAAAATATCATGGATAGTTTTTTTGAAACTGAGCTTTGAACAGGGCTAAACGCAAAGTGTGACGGAAGGACGGAAGACGGACATGACAAGCACTATATGCCCCGGCCATATTCATGGCGTGGCATAAAAATTATCTTTTTCATTATTATGAAGTATATGTAAAAACCTGGTCATTCTTTTCTTTGAGAATGTTATCTTAATATTTATGGCTTGAAATTAATGCTTGTCATTTCATTTGTGTCAAGAATGACATAATGTATAACACTGCATGTGATTATGGTTGTTTTTTCACAATCAAAATATAAATTTTATCAGTTTCAATGACCTACTTGTATTCAATTCTGTGCAACAATTAACATTTTATAATCCATCTAATATTGTTGTTATAGATTATTGTTTTAGGAATATGCTCTGGATGTCCCCATTTTAGTACATGTCTTGTCACTTGTAAAATTGCACTTTGAAATCCATCCTACATGTGATAAAAATGGAACTAATGTATGAATCTCCATATTACTTGTTTTTATACAAGTGTGTACTGCGAAAAGTTTTGTAAATCAAGCATATTTTTACTTAGAGTTTGAATGCCAGTGACCCACTATGAAGTGTCTATGGAGAGGGAGAGGAGAGAGAAAGAAAGAGTTGTGTAAGCTACATGTTATACTTCATAGGTTAAAAAGTTTTTTTTTATTATAATATTTTTTCAGGTTTCTGTTACTTAGGTCATTTATTCACTCTTAATGAAATAAGCTTAATATTATTACATGACAATTTTTTTTTTGGAAATTGTATACCAGCTTTCTAATACTCTAATAGGGTTAATTTTAAGAGCATTTGTGTGTGAACAATAATAGTTAGAAATTTTGTTTTATATATTTTGTAGTTGTTTTACAGTGGAAATATCTGTAATTGAGTCAGTCAAATATATTGATGTCAAAATAATTCTATAAATTGAATTTTCAATAGTTCTATCATTCACAATTGTAAAATATTAACTAAGTAGTAAAAATGCTCCCATCATTCGTATTTTCATATTTTTCTGATTTATATTTAGTTTAATATTAATCAGGTCATTTTCGTAATGATTAGGGCTCCCCCTATTTTAGTCAATAAATGTGTTATTTGTCAGTTATTTCTGAAAATTTTTTGCCACCTTCTGATTACTATAATTTACTTGTCAACTCAATTTATTATATATGTAATAACATGTAAATCTGTTCTGATAAATCACATTTCTTGAATAAATATATTTATTACATTTTCAACAGTAAAATACTGAGATTTATTTATTGGATAAAAGTGATTTTCTCTCACAGTGTGAAAGGATATCAAAGTCAGTAAAAAAAAAATTTCTGACTAGTCATAAGATATAGTAACTAAATCGTCTTGAAAAAGACTAAAACTTCCAAATTCTTCCCAAAGATGTTGCTAAAATTCATGTTACAATGTTTTCATTTTCACAACTGCTGAGCTGTATGACATCTCAACCGCTCAACTATGACTTCACAGCCTATGACACTGTGCATGTTAAGAAAAGACAGAAGCAAAGGGAAAATTAAAGAAAATGTAATAAACAGAAAATTCAATGTTTTGTAGATGAATATAGAATTTATTTCACTTCCCACTCGTGAAATAAATTCCATATCCAACTACAAAACACTGAATATCCTCTATGTAGATTTTAAATAAAGCTTATCTTTAATTTTCTTGAAAATTAAGAATTTATACACATGATTTTGTGTCTATTAGAGAGTATATGTTTTTATATTTAAACAGGGACCAACTTAGGGGTCAACTATGCCAAACGGTCAACATTACCACTAAACTGCGAAAAATTTCAACTCATTACAGAGATTTATCAGCCTATTTTGGGAAACGCCATTTTGGGGAATTGGGAAAAAATTATTGGCTATTTGATGAAATTGGGAAAAATTAAAAATGTTGCTTAAAACATGTATTCAGGTGTAATTAATAACATGAACTCTAATTTGGGCAATTAAACAGACAATTAAATATGATCCAACTTCAGCGTACAAGTTCAATTATGAATAATACACTAATAAAAGTAAAATTGACTTTAATGAGTATAAAGTATTTAAACAACTTGGGTAGTATATGTGTGTATGAGATTGCAATTTAGGTCATTATAGAATCTGTTTCTGGAGATTATAAACCTCCTGCAGGGACCTATATACTAACGGGATAGGCAACACTCGCAAGTCTCGCGATAGGTCGTAAGTTGCGGGATTTCGTTAGTCACTTTTAATTAAATATATTTCTTTTGCTATCAAATATTTCAGAATAAAATCTTAATTTATCTATCAAAAAATTATTCAAGATTTGTTATTAGCACTGTTTTTATTCCTTATCTTAGTAGTAATTACGTTTATTTAAAAATCAGTACGTGCCCCTGATCGGCCGTATTTCCGAGAAATCGCCGATTTTGGTAGTTGTTTACTTAATATCTAATTTATTTTATAATATGTGCTTTAATATTTATTAAATATCCATTCTGATACACAAAAAGATCAGATTACATTAATCAGAAAACAAGCTCTTTACTGGAAAAAACGTAGTTTGAAAAACTTGCATTGTTGTGTGTGCTGTTTTGGGTAAATAAACATGGCACTGAAGGAGTTGCCTATCCCGTTAGTATATAGGTCCCTCTCTCCTGCAAAAGATTATACTAAGTACACATTTTCTTTAAGTCATCTTTTAATATTAATTAATGCATTGAAAATATATTTTTCTGTCTGAAATAATACCTTTAGTCCTTACCATTCACTCGTAGATCAATTGAGTAGGTGAAAATAACTAAAATAAATCTTATATAATTACACAATATCAGCATTTCCAGAAAAACTGAGGAAATTCGGATTAAAAGTTGGCGATGTTTATAGTGTTTTTAAACATGCGTTATGACTGTAACATTCCTAAATGAGTTTAATATATGAAAATTACAGACAATCTGACAATTTTACTTTTGTGTTTTTCCAAGATAATTAAATATAAAAGCATTGTTCACCAATTGGGAAAAAAATACTGCCAAATTGGGAAAAACTGAACTCATTTTCATTTGGGAATGGGGCCGAATTTCGGCCCCTGAGAAGGTATTGATAAATCCCTGCATTACCACTACATTCTTCGAAATTTCGGGTGATCATTACTGCTATATTTTATCAATAAGAATATTGCCAATCACAATTCACTTGTAAACGCTTTAAAACAGTACCAGGTAGTGAGGTTGTAACTTCGGACAATGGTGTTGTTACTTCGGACACATGGTGTTACAACTTCGGACAGTGGGTAAATGAGGAATTGTTTCGCTGCTGTGCCGCACTGATTACACGATGGTCGTGCTAATTACAGCAGGGAACTTCAACTTTTGTCGGGACATAAAAAATAAAAAAAAAAATATTTTTCATAAAATATAAACACGTTAGTGTACAAGTATATATTTTTCAGCAAAAAATATTTACCAAAAAACTGAATTAGCGTGAACTATATGTAGGATAAAAACATGTAGCTAGCACATCTATAATTTTCTCAAATCTCAACTCCATATATAATATATTTTTTTAACTAAATACCAGCATCATCTATTGTTTCCTGAGTATTTTAACCTTTTTTTTTAAATTGATTCTATAAAAAAAAATAAGTGGTTTAAATTTTAAATTAAAGAATATCGATGAAGACAGAAATCCTAAAGTGTTTGTATAAATGGGGAAAATGAAAAATAAAACGATAAATCAGTGCTTCAGATGCTAAATATTTTTTTCTCAATGATATGCTCGCAATGACATTGAGGAATTTCAGAAATGACACTGGGATGTTTAAAAAAAAAAAAAAACACTTAAAAATCTTTTGCCAGGTAGCCCTACTAAGTATACATGTATTACATGCACTGATTACATGTACAGCACCTTGTGTTCATGAATCACGTTACGTTCGCCAGTTGTTTTTTTTTTATTATTCATGGTGAGATTTTATTTGGGGGGGGGGGGGGGCATATTTATATTTATGGAATTGTATTATGAAAGAAATATTATGTGCAGTGCCTCTGCAGCCCACTGTAAATGAACATCTAAATGGCATAACATAGTTTACGTTTATTTTTTAATATTAAAGTTTATAGGGACATATATATGGAAATACGACAAAAGACTCTGAATGAGTCAAGAATGGGATAAAGGGTCCCTCAATTTTTTTTCTTTATTAAATGACATGGACTTTGTTTGTAAACTTAAGAGTTCAAAAATTTTAAGCACTCAACACCTGTACAGGTATGTTACAAAGGTCATAGTGGGTCCTTTCTCTCTCTCTCTCTTTATTATGCCCCCCTTTTTTTTATAAAAAAAAAAGAAGATTAATCCTAAAAATAATTAATAAATGTTCTTTTTGTTCATTTTCAATAATTTTTATTAATAAAACAACAAGCATACAATAAGTATTGATAATATATCAAATTTTAAACTTGTGTTGCCTCTCTGAGAGGTGTTGTAATTCCGGAAACCTCAATTTCGGTTGATTATTTCCTTTAACTACGTAATGTGTCATGAAAATTTAAAGAAAAATATTAATAAAGTCGGATTTTATTCAAATTTTGTAATTTTTATAAATAATTTTTAGCAGAAAACGACTTATCTCAACCGCACACTCTGCCTGTCAAACAGAAAGTAGACGGATATTAGCGTCATTCACAGCACTGTCGGTGAAGGTCATTTATTTATGGCAACTGAGTTGATTAATTGATTGATTGATTATTGTTTTACGCCGAGTCGGCAATATTTCAGCCATATTTCGGCGGTAGGAATTTAAATATTATGGGAACGGTTTTGAAAGTTTTGGGTTTCTCTGGCGGCCCCCAATGAGCCTACTCTTTTTCGAAAACCAGAGAAACGATCTTTAGCGTGCCAAGGGGGTTGCAATCCTTGACACGGGGCACCATTTAACGTCCCATCCGACGGACATGAAATCTAAAAATAAAATGAAAAGTTAAATTGAAAATTATAAAAATACAAATAAAAAATATGTACATTAAATCTTGTTGTAAAAATCAGTTTCTAGTAAGTATTGTATAATTGTACAAGGATTAATGTTTGTAAAAAGATCATGCATTAAAAAGTCTCTTTCGTATTGGTGAAAAATCAAAAGAATATGGTGTATAGTTATTGCACATTCGCAAGATACACAAGTGTGTCAGAAGAAATTTTAATTACCAGTCCACAAAAAAGTCCAATTGTCAGTGACAGTGAGATTCAACAGACTAAAGTAAGTCCTGATACCACTTCTTACATCCCACCAGAACAATCCGAGGAATTTCAAAAAAAAAATCTAGCCGACTTTCCAACATACTTACAACAAAATATGAAACTCATTATGATTGGCTTTACTTTAGTGCATCTAAGAATGCCTACTGTTGCAAATATTGTGAAATGTGTGGAGGTGATCCATTGTCAACATCTCCATTTATTGTTGGGACAGTTCTTGGACACCATCCCAACAGAAAATTAAGCAAATATGAGTCTTCCAATTTGCATGCAGAGTCTGTTGCTAAATGTGTGAAGATGAAAGCAACAGAAGCTCAGTCAACTGTCCTTCAACAACTGTTACGGAGCCCTGAGTGCAAGGAAATGGACAGAGAATACATGTCTACTTTAATTACATCTGCCTTTTTTGTAATCAGAAAGCAGTGGGCAATAGATAGCATTGGAGATATTCTTCAATTCCTACACAATCAAAAATGTCCAAGTGTTTTGAACTTTATGGCAAATCAACCATCAGTGACCTACACATCATCAACTTCTGTGAGAGACATTGTTCTTTCTATCAACAGTTGCCTTGAGAAATCACTCCTGGAAACAATAAGGAATTCACCATATATATATTTACTAGCTGATGAATCGACAGATGAAGCTAACAGAACTCAGTTTGCGGTGCTCATCAGATGTTTAGACACAGTGACAGATAACACCATCAAAGACCATTTTTTAGGCATGGTCAACGTTAAGAAAACAGACGCAGCAACTCTTATGAGTGAAATTGAAAGATTTTTGATTTCTAAAGAGATAGACATATCAAAAATTCTTTTTGTTGGATTTGATGGGTGTAATACCATGAGTGGTGAAAATACAGGTAGGTCTTATAGTACTATTGGAAGACAAGCATGGAAAGCTCTTCAAGAAAATATAAGATTTCATGATTCCAAATACTATTTTATTTTATATCAATATTTTGTAGATTTTATTTTTGTTCATCGAATCTACAGCTTAAAAATGTGCTTAAATTTCTGTAGGTCTCCAGCGCCGATTTAGACATGTGGTGCCTCACAGTTTGTACATCAATTGTAGAAGCCATCGTCTAGCACTGTGCGTCAAACACTTGATGAAATATTTTCCTGTACTAGAGGATGTAGATCTTGCTCTTCTGGCCATCTATAAGCTGTTTGACAATTCACCTCAAAAGTTTGCTGTTTTTAAGGATGTACAAGCTAGTTATGCAGAAAAAGAGTTGGTCTTAAGACGAGCAGCTGCTACAAGATGGTTATCACATGGAGATGCATGCAAGAGAGTCATTCAAAGATATGTTCTGGTAAGTAAATCCATACATTTGGTTTAATAATAAGATTTTATGAAGTCAGTTACACACATGTAAAATCTTAAGTTATTATTCATATTGTACACTATTTCTAATAATTCCAGATTGTTGACACTCTTGATGAACTCTTAAGTAGAAAGAAGGAGCCAGAAATAGTTGGTGTACGAGATTCCATTACAAACAAGAATACTGTAGCAGCTATTCTTGTATTATGTGACGTGCTTCAACCAGTTTCCATCTTCTGCAAGGATCTGTAGATTTCAGCATGGTTACAGTAAAGCTAAAGGAAAAAAAACCTTATACTTGCTAGAAATTATATGAAAGAATTGATTGATTGATTAATTAAAATAATATCAACTAATCTACACATAAGTCATTTATCCACTTCAGGATCTTACCGATTCACTTCACAACCTCATCGAGAGATTTCGGGGAACTCTTACCCACCAAGATCATGATGATGGAATCTACCTTGGAAGAATAGATGATATATTTGCAGAAATTGATGAGAGAACTGTGTTTACAAGGAGGTTAAGGTAATAATGATATGACAGTTCAGAGAGCCAATTTTTTTTTTATCAAATATTTAAAAATTCATATAAACTATTACAAAATATAATTTATGTATAGGTAGCACTCCAGTTCAAAAATATGTTGTTTTGAGTTTTGTTTCCTTTGTTATTTGTTACATATATTTTTTAGTTGATTTTTCCATTCAGCAGAGTTGTTTGATGGTTGGGTGTTCACATTTTCAAGTTAGAAGTGGCATGGATTCTTTTAATATCTATTTTACTTATCAATTAAATTATGTGAAAGGCTGTGTAATGAAGAGTGATTATAAATAATTGCAGACAAAGGGAGCCAGCAAATGATTTGCTGCAGATGTTCTTGGATGATGCAGTTATGAGAGACACCTTCCCATGCATGTTCACGCTGGTCTTCCTCTCCCGTTTAGTTCCCACCAGCACGGCCTCTGTGGAGAGGATATTCAGCTTGATGAACTGCCTATGCACTGAGAACAGGAACAGACTGGGACAGGACACTCTATGTGCTCTCATGAGAATTTGCAGACATGGCGACGAAACTGTATATGTTGGCAAAGACAGACATATTCCTTAGACTTGATTCCCCCAGAGAGCACACGTTCATGAAAGAGATTTCTGTTGGACATGTTCGATAAGCATGGTGTTGACAAGGTAACAATGATAATTATTAGCAGTGCCTTATATTTTTACAATTTGACATAAATTTAACATAAACAGTAACAGATATCCAAAATCATGACAGTTACATGAAATCTGTATCTGTAAAATAATAAAACTTGAGTTAGGGTCAGCCAATGTAACGAGTTTCACTGTTATATTTGGCATTATTTATATCATAATTTATTAAATGATTTAGCCAAATGGTATGAATTGGCAGAAACGGTGCCTCGAACATGGACACCATAGGGGGTCTAAGCTTTCTGCATATGAGTTAAATTCAGAGTTGATATTGTCCATTGCTACGCATGTAGACTACATTTTTAAATGTTTAACTTTCTTACATTAGATTTTTCGGTCAGACAAAATTCTTCGAGTACACAGGACCAAATGTCCTATATGTGACCGAAAGAACTTGTACGCAAAGAGTGTTTAAACAGAAAAGGCGTCAAAATGACTCATTTCAGAGGTTATGTTTCTTTTTGGATATTTAGTACAAAGTTCTTTGAAAAAGGTACGGTTTTGGCTTTATTCTACCCTTAAAAAATTATGTTTTCAAGTTTTAAAAAAGTTTTTTTGTTTATTGTTTAACGTCCCTCTCGAAAATTTTTCACTCATATGGAGACGCCACCACTTGCCGATGGAGAGCTACAAATTTTGACCTATGCTCGGCATTCAGGACCATTGAGCAGTGATGGGTATTTTTCATGCCAGCACCTACTGCGACACGGGACCTTGGTTTATACGGTCTCATCCGAAGGACCGGTCTCCACGTCCCACAGTGGGATTCGAACCCGCGACGTAAGAATCAACTCGTTACTCCGCGACTCTAGAGCGGACGCTCTAACCACTGCGCCACGCGGGTGACAAATTTGCTTTTAGAACATGAGTGTGATAAATCATGAAAGAATATGGCATGAAGGAGGACCATTTTGGAAATACGACGTCATTAATTTGTATATTTCTATATGTTTTAAATAGGGAAGACCTCAAAATGACTCATTTCAGGGGTTATTCCCTTGAGAAAATAGTGTCCACAGCCGTCGCCCACTTCAATATTAAGATATGATGTGCATGTAAAATTCCTCGAAAAATCAGTTTCTAAAATATTTGTTGGCGATGTATGTGGACTGTGTTATCTGGAAGATAATTCCACTGAAAAGATGTTTTCTGCAACTTTTTAAGAAAATACGGGAAAATGCACAAGTTTATGACGTCACAGTTAGCATTTAGGAAGTCATTTGAGAAAAACGATTTGTCTGATCTTTGTGCATGGAATTTCATTAATTCAGAAAGCACGAGTTTTGATTTTTTACATCACTTTCATATTTTAGAAAATTGCAGGGTAAGATCTGTATTAAAACCGTACCTTGTTCTTGATTAAGAAAATCTCCATAATAGGCAATACATGTGCTGCATATTATCGGAAAGAAAATTTCACCGAAAATTAATGTCTTCTGCAACTTAGCATTAACATTTGGCATTTGGGAGGTCATAGAAAAATAATTTCTTACATTTTCATATTTTAGTGTAGGACCAGTGTAGGACCAGACTTGTATTGAAACTGTACTTTGTTTTGTTTTGTTTTGTTTTTTTAGATCTTTTCTCGGTAATTAAGGCCACTGGGTAATGAGGCCTAGCACCCGATACAACACGGGGCCCTCGCTTTCAAATTCTCATCGTGAGACTCGCATATTTCACTTAAAAGTGCTGAGCACTTTGCAAAACACAGTTCCTACGTATTCTATATCAACTTAGGTCGGGGATTCAATCAACAACCTTCCGATCATCCAACTAGCGTTTTATCGAGCGAAATACCGTAAAGGGAATACATGTCTTTGCCTGAAATCTTGAAATTTCACACAAAACGAGAGGTACTGTGAGCACTGAGCTCACAAAATGATACCCTCCGCTCCCATATGAGTACATTTTGGCAAGTCAGGAAAGATACAAGAAAAAACTCTCTGTTGATTTTGGACCAGTGTCGTGCGAGACTGAGAAGGAAAGATGGGAGGACAACATGAAAATGTGGTCTGATGTGTTGTACCCTGACATCTTCACTAACTTGATAGACAACCCCGGGGTGCACACGATGGACGTTATGAAAGCTTACAAAAGCCTCAAGAGCTATTATTATTTCTTTTCTGAATATGTGCAGACTGTGTTTTACTCTATTTTCTTTCATAGCACAGTAAGCACATCACTCCATAGGTTAAATGTCTAACTTCACTGGGATTCTGGTACATTTTCATTCCAAAATTTAGATATTTACTTCATTTTCTCCCTAGTTACTAGTATTTTTTTTTTTGGGGGGGGGGGGTATTCATCACGTATACACGACTATCCATAGCTACACCAAAAACGAGGCGCCGGCATATTGCGGGGCAGAACTTTTAGACGCGCTTCAATGAACTGAGACGTAAACAACTGAAAGGGAAAGCGGTGAACTATTTCCAGTGTTTAGACACGGCAAGCCAGGAAAGATACAAGAAAAAGCTCTCTCTGTTGATTTTGGACCAGTGCCCGTGCGAGACTGAGAAGGAAAAATGGGAGGACAACATGAAAATGTTGCCTGATGTGTCGTACCCTGATATCTTCACGTACTTGATAGACAACCTTGGACTGCACAAGAAGGACGCTATGAAAGCCTACAAAAGCCTCAAGAGCTATAATTACTTCCTTTCTGGATATGTGCAGATTGTGTTTTCTTTACGTATTGGGAAGGACAGCCTGCTTTTCAAAGCGAACGTCAACCATAACCAGCGGACAACAGAGCCACCCTGTATAGTATGGTGTGCTGTGAAGACGGCGGGAGCCTTTTGACCAGTCTTTGGGACTGTATGACAGGGTAAGTCTTTCTGACTTTTAATTCAATGCTTTAAAAATTGTTTCAAGTTCATTATGAACTTAACTGTATTTATCACAATTCTTATGTTCTGTGACCAAGGGTAAACCTGAAAATTCACAATTTTTTGAATGTGTTTGTATGCACATTTTTTTTTTAATTCTGATTCAATTCATGATTAATTTATTTTTTTATAGTCCAGGGGAGTATGCTCGCATGTGGCTGCCATGCTGTTTAAGATTGAAGCCTGCGTACATCTGGGATATGACAAGGAGTCCTGCACGTCCTTGCCATGTAAATGGAATGCCACATTTAGTATAAAGGTACGTTATCTTTTAAGATTTGAATTGAGTTTAAAAAAAATTATATTTGAATAATGCTCTTAAATTGACAATTGCAATTGTTTAAGCCGAAACGTTAAAAACATTTTCTGTAAATGAAAAGCTGTGATGTCCCAGTCACATGTGAACTTCAAAATTTCCAAATGTGGCCTGCGTATTAATCCCCAATTTCCATATTTAGCTGCCACTTCAGACAGAACAGTGTCATGTGATTGCTGTGGGAAAGGCATTGTGGAGGTGAAATGCCCTACAGCTTAATGGACAACAAGGACATCCTAAAAGTGCTTCATTGACAACACGTTAAAATCTAGCCACCCCTACTTTACCCAGTTTCAGACTCAACTCAGTGTTTGCGATGTGAATCAATGATATTTTGTGTTGTGGACACCAAATGGGTCGCTTATTTCTCTAAAGAGAGAGAAAAAAACAGTGTTTGGTTTAAGGAGAGGGAACGTACCAAACTCAGAGTTTTTTTTGTGAAGTATGTGATTCCCTTACTTATTATGTCTGGTAGGGTTGACCAGCGATGTCCCGCTCTCAAGACTATAACAAACAATAAACATCTGTATTGTGTTTGCAATGGCGAGGAAGATGAACGTAAAATGGTAGCAATGTAGCAACTTCAGGAGATGCAACAAAGTGTGATTTTATCTTGAGTGTGTCTCCCTTGTGAAAACCTTCAAAGGATATTCGTTGTGTCTTCTGTGAAAAAAAGTGACATTATTGACATTTTTTCATGTAACTGTGTCTTGAAATAAACTGATCTGTCATGTACGTTAGAAATAACACAGATCCTGGTACAACTAATGAGAAGAATAAATTAGGTCAACTTCAAAACTTTTATCTTTTTTATCCATTGGAATCGAAAATGTTTCATCACTGTGCAATGATCATAACTGATATGTATGTAATGAAATATCATTAATCATGTTTTTGTATTACTATAGTACATGTATGTACTCAGTTTAATTTATTATTTCTCAAATAATGCGTGCTTCACTGCTGTTGATCACTTCATTCATCTTATGTTTACAATAGGGTCTGTAAGTCTCGTCACGTGACTCGTGAGATTTTTCGATGATATTAACTTCCGGGTACCTCAATTCATCTTATGTTTACAATAGGGTCTGTAAGTCTCGTCACGTGACTCGCGAGATTTTTCGATGATATTAACTTCCGGGTACCTCAGACATGGAGATGTATATTGGGTTACACATGTTTATGGTTTACACAAGGCGTACAAGGAAAGATGAAGCAGTTGTACAAAGCCGAAGGGTTCTCCGACGTACGATGGATGAATTGAGTGTCATAAAAGCTTGGATGCGAGCATCCAGGAGGAGAATTTCGATCGAAGTACAGGTAAACAAGTCGGAGAATGTCACCTGTTTCTTGTGTATTGGGGGAAATCGAAGTGTCTTGTATCATACCTGGATGGAATAGTTTTGTAATTATCATTCCAATGAATTTATTAACAGATTTTTCTTGAATTCGAGAACAATGATGTTAATACCAGCTGATAAAAGAGGAATAGTGTAAGTGCCCGATGGGTACGAACGTCATCTTGTGACTGCATCACCTTTGTTTGGGTAAATAATTTGTTCAGAATACGCTTCATTTATCAACAGAATTTTAGCTGTTGCGTGCCAGTGAGTCTAGTCTTAAGCATTCAATGTTTGAAAGAACATATTTCCCAAGGATAGATTTTCTTTATATATTCTGCCAATTCTCTCTGTATTTATCATTGAATAAAAATCACATGACTGCAACAATATGACCATATTCTTCAGTTTAGAGAGCATGTTATAGAGGAGATTTTGGTTAAAGTTTCAGTCTGTTAAGGTTTCAGTCTGTTTCAGTGTTTGAAATATTCTTTCATCTTACACAATTGTATACATTAAGATTCATTTTATAGCTAAAGTACAAGAGAACTGCAGCACCAAAGACTACATGTACATCGATTTGAATAATCTGTATCCTCAAAAGGCAAATCAAATACAGGTATGAAATAATGTCACAAAATAAGTTCTTGGACTTACATTTACTCTGATAATACACATAAAGCATATCAAAAATAGTAAAGAATTATAGGTACATCAGGTGACAACTCAATCAAGTATGGAATATTATTAACGCTGAGTTTCCAATTGTCAAAAGGGTATTAAATATATTCAATACAAGTTGTCAAACATTTATATTATAAGTGATTTGTCCAGTGGTGCTTAACTTTTTCCCACAGGTTTTTACACATTCACCGATCATTATACTGTATTCAAGCATTTCTGGACTTTTTTTTGTTGGGAGATGTAAGATTTTTGAAGTCCTTTATGATTTGGACGCTTTTTTATCCAGTAGATGCTTTTTTTTAATTAACATGACACTGACAAATATTGGACCCCCATAACTTGAATGAATTGTCATTTCTTGTGAGGGTGATGTAGTTGTAATTAGTATAGATCTATGCTGAGAAGAAAGAAATCTATGAAACCAAGCAGTTTTGTGTACTTGTTTGTACTTGTTTTTGTTTTTTTTATAACTTGTATTTTTTAAAATAAAAAAGCACAGTAGCATAGTGATTTTCTAATGAGAAATCAAGGTTCATTACACAGTATTGGTGTAATGTTGTTACACCTGAATATGTTATAACCTGATGCATTTGGCTCGGGCAAAAGGGTACTTGTGCATCTAAGGAGTTGATCAATGATGGGTCTAATCAATATTCACAAATGTCACATATGCATATAACCAACATGTCAGCGATGTATATGATATATCTCTCAAGAAACATCAAAGTGTAAAAAAAAACAAAACTTTTTTTCTATGCATCTGAATCATTTATAACACTAAAATTGTATTTAAAAATTAGGCTAACAATAATGTCAAAGAACAATATAGTCTTTAACACATTTATAAGTACAATTTTGCATTTATTCGTCTATTCACTCTATTGTATTAAATGAGGTTCATTTGCATATAAATGTTGTTTACATTGTTTCACTGTCTTTAATAACTTGTAATACTAAATTTTATAACTTGACAAATTCTTCTTTTTAGAAAATGCATATAATTTGGAAAAGAGACCACCAATCCACTGAGGGGTATCACATGAAAGCAATGGTATTACAGAATATTGTAAAGCTGGACGAGTTATAGTGAAACAGGTAGGCAAGTACTTTGTTCTTGGAATTCTTCGCCCCAGTTAAGTTTTATTTTTCTCATTCGGCCCTCATTACAAGTAGGTGAATTTAAAGCGGGGCAAATTCAAAGAAGGCAGCATATATCTTTTAAACACAAATGTGCTTCATCAAATTTTAAAATACGGACAATTGCTTCAATACATTGAAATACATCTTGAAGATCTTTTTTAAACTTAATTTTAAGACAATAGTGTTTTCTTTTACAATTAACGACAGAACAGAACACAGTAGAACTGGTAGAAAGTGGCGTGGCTGAGGAAATTCGAGTCACAACTTTCACTCGTTTTATGACAAATATTGGAATTCAAAATAACCTACGAAAATATATGCTTGATTGATACAAGACATTATTTCCTTTTTTTTTATATATGTAATTTTATAAAATTTTGCGTGATATGTAACAAATTAAACAGCTGATATAGCGTATATGTATCTCTTGTTTAGTAAAACAACTTTTTTTACCACTAGGGAAAAGTACTACAGTATTGTTGTAAATGATACGCCCTTTCAAATATTATTCAAATTCAAGGCCTGCTTTCTTTTTTTTTTCATTCAAAGGTTGTGGATTAGAATCAGTTTCAACAATTAAAGTTTTGAACTCTGCAGTAAACAGAAATATTGTCGTGTATTTTACATGTGTATACTATGGGAGAGATGTACATATTTTCTACAATTATGTTGAAAGTTAGTATGTTCAGAAAGAAAAATATAAGGATAAAAAAAGATCAAATATACAACAGATTTTGGAAGTTTGAATATTTTTTCAGTAGAGAGATTGAGGTACTTTTTTCCACCTAGGTATATATTAATTTGAATTGCGTTGAAAAAAAAAATATTATACAACTTTTCATTTTATCATGTCTCAGTGCACTTCTGTGAATTAATTTATTTTAGCTGATCCATTGAATGTCTCACTGTATATTTGCCATAACTTTGCCAAAGCTAGTCCAAAATCCTCAAATCTTGTAATTTGCTGAATACCGAAAAATAAAAGATTCTGAAAAGTTTATGAAGGGTGTGACATAAGTCCTATAAGTTTTACTGTGGTGACACTGATATTTGACATCTGAGAGAAGACTATAATAGATTTGTATGTTTGATTTGCATTAATGTTAGAAACTGCAAGCTGTTAATACTAGAAATGCACCCCTGCCCCAAATATTAATACCGAAGAGAAAGTTAAATCTAAAATAGTTCATTAGCACATTAGCAGTACCAATTTTGTGTTTTGTATACATAAGTTTTTCAAATAACACTTTTTTCCCTAATAAATTAAGGTCATAGAAAAAAGTTCCATCCTTAATTTAAAATAAAAATTTTTATTGCATTTTTTCATTTTATTTTTATTTTTCTGACCGATTGCTTAAATTTTGAGCTTTTATTTTTATTTTTATTTCGACCCCCCGACTCAAATTTTTGAAAAAAATTCCCGTAAAACAGAAAATAAAAAAGTGTTGGCCTTACCATCAGTTGTGTGTCAAGCTGTGCAAAAATTCTATGTCATATTACAGAATCTTTTCTTAAATACAGGTATATGTCTGCTCATCAGGCAATCTTTGGACATCACTGGATGGTACTTCCAGCATGAAGACCAGCCAGTTGCCTCACCTGTCCTGACATTGTTAAAGGTAAGTGACCCTTTCAGAAAAGGATCTGACAATGCAAAGGCTTGCTCATCAATTAAAGATTTCTATTTACCAATAGCTAATTAATTTGAATTTCTGTAGCTTAAAAATTTAATGATATGAATTAAAAAAAAATATTTTAATCAAAATTATTTTTATTTCAGTACTTTGAGACAGTGAAAAGACATGGCTCTAAATTACTGCATCAGAGATCTATCCAGGTTATAAATCTGAGGAAAACAATAAAGCATCATTTGGAGCTACTTATATCACTGCCTTAACGAGTTGTCTGCAGACGGGGCATCCTTAAAAACTTCAGTCGCACTCGTCACTTAGAATAGAAAACTTCATAATTTTATAACTTTTGTATCAATCCTTTTGCACTTCATCTGACTTGGAATTTCAGTAGCCTTTACATGTAACATCCTTCAAGCATTTCATGAAGTACCAATTTGCAGGTGTAAAATGTTTGTCCCAAATGAAACAAAAAAAAAATAAATTCTCTGGCAGTTAGCAGTGTCCTGAGCAGTTGATTGATGTCACAGTTCCACCGGCATAGTATTTGTAGTTGAATGGTGCCATTTTTAAGCAAACTTTTCACAAAAACCTGGAAAACATCAGATGGAAAGGAGCATCTATAAGAAAAACAGTGAACACTTTCTTGAATATTAACAATGATATGTCATGCCCCATTTACATCCTTTATATAAACTAATTAACCAAATCATAGAGAATTATATACAGATTTGTCCTTTTGTGTATTTATAGTGTATTAAATTGATTTTACTAATTTATAAATATTTATGTTTTTCGCAGTCATAAATATTTACAAATATAAGTACATATAACATAAAAATATTACATGTTTATTAGGATAACATGAAATTGTTATTCCTCAAAAACCATCGCTGACCGAGGCGAACAATGGTTTTCAAGGGGTAACAATTTCACAATACCCAAAATAAACAAATAATATTTTTCTCGTTTTCGAATGCATTTGAAAGAAAACATCAAGGTGAAACGAACGTGCAAACATTCTGCACAGCCAACAATCTTTATTACTATATATTAACATTTGCAATGTCTTTGTCCAAGATAAAATTTCAAATAGTAAAAATACTTTATTTCTACATCGATCTACTGGTTCATCCATAGGCGTGGTGAAAAAAAATATCACGTGCGGAGCGGGACAAATAGAGACAGAAGCGGGGCTTGAAGCACGTGAATTTGCAGGATCAAGAGCATGTATATATGAGGAATAACTGTCAGATTTTTTGGGTTCATGACGATGATCAATCGATTGGCTTGCATGATAATTTTATGCATAAACGCCTTCGGTGTTTATGCAAATTATCATGCAAGCCACTCGATTGATCACATCATGAAACCAAAAAATTAGACAGTTATTCCTTAAATATACTGTTACCCTTAGTCATGCATTTTCAACCATTGGGATGTAATGTTTGGCATGCAGTAGGGTAATAGTACTTGTTAACAAATGTTTTTAAACCAAATTTGACTATTTAACAGGAAAGTATATGAAAAATTTAACTAGCATTATGGTGCTGAGAGTAACCATGGTATGTGAGCTTGTGTGAACTTGATCCTGAATTATTATGTTTTGAATATTGTAAAAGAAATGTGCAGCCAAAACTTTGACCTGTACCTGATTTAGATGGAGCCTTCTTGGAAGTTGTCACACTGTTTACGAATGTAATAACTGGGATCTGCTTCATTTGCAGATAATTGTATAACACATTCACTCAAAGCACTGTCCCTTTTTCAGTACCTTGTGCAGCCCTGTAATATATAATGACATATGGAGAAAAATTCTATTTCAAGAAAAATATCTGTCAAAATTGTAGGAGTATTGGAAAGGGGGGAAGGGTGTCATGAAGCTTGGCAGTTAATATGTGTACATGAAAAAATACCTTCTTTTTTGTAGAATAAAAAATGATTTTTTTTTAGTGTGTGTGACTATTTTTATTTCTGGATAGACCATGTAGAGAGGGTAAACTACAGAATGAGCTGTCCATTTTTATTCATTGTAGTAATCAAATTAAAAAAAATAGAATGTGTTCTCTACAAGGATCATGTGTTATCGACGTGGTAATCAACTTTGTATTCCCATGGTCGATGCATTCCCGATCTCATGCACACCTGTCCAATACTCCAAAATAGACCCTTGTAAGCTAAATCAATGCAATAAATTTCTGAAACCAATCTGTAGATAAGCTTACCTTTTGAATACAGACTATTTTAGCATTAAAACGATTTAATTTTCCCTTTATGCTTAAGTATGTTGGCTAATCTTGGTCCGCTCAGAATGGCTTGTGTTTACGTCATGTAATGAAAAAAATAAAGCAATTAAACGCTATTTACCTGCATCTATCAATCCATTTTCTCCTCTTCTTTGCAACAATCGGGAATCAAAACAAACTACAAGTCTTATAATTCCACTGCGATGCTTACAACTTAAAGCGAAACGGTAATCCATTGTCTCCAAGAACGCTCAGGTACCCGGAAGTTTAAAAACGAAAGTGAAAGTAAACGAGACTTACAGGCCCTATAAAGAATTTAAAAATGGCATTGATTTATTTCACTACATTGCAGTGCGACCTTAAATTGTGCCGGTCAAATTAATTAAGAAAAGAAAAAGCAGACAGCATTCTAGTAAATTTATCTTGACCTACTTAAAAATAATCGTTTGCCCTCTCCCGACTCAGGATGAAAAAGTTGTGATGGTATGTGCGTGAGAAATTTTTCAACCAGACAATTTCAATATCCATTCTGAATTTTCAAAATATATTTCCTGGAATGCTTAAAAATTTGCTTCTTGGATGTAAAATAAAGTTTTGTGTCAGTGGTTTTTTGAAGTTGATCAGGAGAGGGCAAACATTTTTTTTAAAGATGGCCTTACTGTTACCATGATTACATTACTGTTACTGTCCTTTGAAGAAAAAAAGGTGTTTGAAGTTCCATCTTTAATGATGCATATAAAATGGACATTACAATTTATGAGTAATAACAATTTTTAAACCTGCAGAGACATACATGACATATTAACACAAAAAGACATCATAAATGACAGGAGTTTCAAATTTAGGATAATTCGTTGCAAATGTAAACTGACAGATTACAGTCATTTTGTCCAAAATCACAATACGCATACGACACTGCTCACAGTTACTTTGCTTTGTCTTTCACTCTTTTCTTCTGCCTCTCATATCGCGCAAGATCGTCTTCTAGTTTCCTCTGAGGAGTAAGAGAGTGTCTAAAGATTTGTGGTACATAATCTGGGTGAGCAGAATCATCAGATGGTTT